AGTGGCTGCGCGAGGAGAATGATTAGGGACAGAGCGGAGAAAAGTCTAGTAGCATCAAGAGTCTCGCCAGAATTCGAGGCAACCCCTTGGAAGAGAGCAAATGCCACGACCGGAGACATGAGCAAAGGGACTTGAGCAATGGCGGACGTGACACTGCTGACCATCCTGAATGGTTTTGAAGCTTTGATCTCATCTGCTCGGAGGTTGAGGATGGTGTCAGACAGGTTTTGAGCTAGGCCTGAGCCTTTGATGCTCTTAATGTGTCCAATCATGGCAGAAGTGATACCTAGCCAGCATTAGTAAGAACATGCTAGATGAGAGGATCTAGAAACTGACCAACTCGTCTCTGTGTCTTGTCTAACCAGGAGATCTGATACTTGCGCGCCAGAGGTGAAACGAGAACCGTAGCAATGAGTGCTACGAGCGACACAATTATGGGACCTACAGCAGCATAGCCTACGTGAGTGCTCAGTAACCAAGTGGCTACGGCAAGCTGTATGATGTTTGCCCAAAACTCGTGGATCTCTCTGACCGCCCTCACAATAACATCGACCTAGGAAATAGTCAGCCCGATACATAATTTTGTGAAAGGGTCCTTACATCAGAAGACATGAGCGTCACCGCCGCTGAATCGCCTGTTGTCGTGATGCTCAGATCGGTGGCCTTGGAGAACACGGCAGACACCAACACTCCACGCAACAATGTGACAGACCGAGCATTGCGATGCCAATAGAGGGCTTGTGAAAGAGCAATACCAGAGTAAACAAGACCATAGGCTGCGATGATACCGTAACCAATGTTGATAGACTGAGAGGTATCGTCGAGAAACACCAGAAGCCGGTTGAGAATGAGTGGTTGGCATATAGTGAATGCCAGAAGAGCCAGGCGAGGAAGAATAACAGCAATGATAGACCATCGCAGTGTCGTGACGCAACATGAGATCAGCCGGTGTTTGCGAACTGGAGCTAAGCCAGCATTTAGTGCATGGACATCACAGAGGAGTTTGAAGTATAATACTATGTAGCTATCTGAGAAGGGGAAGGGAATAAATAGACAAACCTTTCTGGGTATGCCAATGCTTCCAAAACCCGTCGATCAGTCCCGCCGAGCCCATCTCCTCGTCCAACTCAAACAGATCCATCGGCCGCAGAAGCTTTCGAAATCCCGTCAGTAGCAACGGAGTTACCCACGCAAAGACGGCTCGGGCGTACAGTCCCGCCGTGACTTCGGGAGAGTGGGGCCCGGAGCCGGCGACAAGATGTGGAGCTTTGTTCCACCCTTCAAGAACGACAATAATCGCTTTCAGAGCAAAGGCCGCCGTGAAAACAGATGGAATAGCCGCACTCATAGGGACAAGCCAGAGGGTGCGAAGGAGCGCGACATCAAGGAGCAAAGACGCAGCGAGAAACAGACTCAAGAGAGAGGATGGACGAGGAGATTTGGCATGTTCAACACGAGAGAGGACACAGGACATCAGGCTTGAGGCAAAGGATACACATGCAGCAGCGACAGAGACGCGATCTATACGCGAATTGGAAGGGCGCATAGCCCAAAGGACAACGAGCATGAGATGAAGCACAGCCAAAAGAGCGATCAACGCCAATTTGACAGTTCGAAGACGGTGGCCAGAGACTTTGACGGGGACATTCCGGAGCCGAAAAAGACGAACAGGAGCGAGGATGAGGAGAAGAGCGGCTGGGGACAGCACGAGAATGGATTGCTCAAAGACGAGAGTAAAGTCGAAGCCATCGCGACATTCAGGGCCAACAAAGGGTCCGAAAGAAGCGTCGAGAGAAGGAGTGCACAGATTCTCAGAAGAGTTCATTTTGATCGAGATAGCGAGTGAAGTTGTAAGAAGAAGAAATAAAAGAGTTGGGGAGGAAGTGAGTGGTTGTTATTTATTTGGGAGATACCCTGGCCATAAGTGATAAGACAGGAGAGGCAGAATTAGGAAGGTACCTAGTAAACAAGGATGATAGGGTAAATAAGTAAGGTAGGTATCAACCTGGTAAGAGATAGAGATACATGCAACTCAAACTGCATACCTAAGGAAGACAACGGAGTATGACTCAAGCATGCACCAAAATTATATAAAGTCAGTCAGAACGCTACTTCTCTTCTAAAATTGATGTTTCTTTTTATTGCAGCGTGGGGAAGTGCATGTAATTGCGAGCTCAGCCAAGTCATTCGGCGTGAGTCACGCACTTTGTAACACCACAAATGGTGGCACTTGAATCGCACTAGTTACTAAACTTGGAGGCGACAATTCAAGCAAACAGTCGCATTACGAATTGGGATTGCGAATAGTGCAACTCCTAAGTTCAGCCAAGAAAAATGTATCGAAATTATACACTGTGAATGCAGATCCCCTACTGTTGAAGAATTAATAAATAGGGCCTATTCATCAATATCATCAAGCCTTGTTTTCAGGGCGGCTTCGACTTATAGCGATAGCTTCTTTATCAACTCAAGTTCGTTCGTTCAGCCTTTTGGTCTTTGTAGATCGTGTACAAGTACTATTCCTGTCATTTTATTCAATTCCTCAACCTCCAACATGACGTCGGCAGCCTCTGAGTCTGTAGCGACTATTCTCTGCAACTCCAAGCAGACACGCTTCCAAATCACCAATCATCGCGAGGTTTGTCACAAACTCATCACTTATTCTCTGTCTACCTACTTACCATCCATAGCTTGACATCGATGGTGTCAACATCACAGTAACTTCAGGCGACAAACCTTCTGGCAAGGGAAAAGCAAAGTCAAAAGGCGAGGGCATTGAGATTCTCGCTGGGGCCAAGCTTCGACTGAAAGAGGGCCAGAGATATGCTCTTGTAGGACGAAATGGAACTGGAAAGTCTAGTAAGAAAGTGTGTATGATATTGTCGTTGATGAGGTGCTAACAGTGGCAATCCAGCACTACTCAAAGCCATCGCTGAGAAACTCATCCCAGGCATCCCAGAGGAGACTAGAGTTGCTATTTTACAGCAAACTAGACTGACTGATGAAAAGCCTGAGGAGAGACCCGACACCAGCAATGCCGGCAAAGAATCTGTGCTGGAACAAGTCATCGAAAAGGCTACAGCCAAACATGCCATCGAACAGGATATCAAAGGTACTCCATCCACTATTTCAGCCCAGACCTCGCCTAACTCTTTATGCAGATCTAACAGAAGGGATAAATGCCTCTGATCCATTTACCCCAGTCAAGGCATTGAGGCATCTGAAGCACAGAAAGCACCAAGAGCGTCTCTTCCGTCTCGATAAAGATGCTCGGCTTCGCAGTGGTGCTCGCGGTATGCAAGCTCGCAAAGCACTCACTGCCTTCGAAAAGGTCGTAGCTGAGTCGAATGAACTGTAAAAACTGTCTCCCATCTTTCGTCGTCTTTTCTAACTCTCCATAGCCTGAGGCAATCCAATGAGGATATCTCACCCGAAACTCTTCAAGCTGAGACCCAAGAAGCAGTCGATATGCTCGCCGATCTTCAACTACAGGTCGATCCAACTCGTGTATCAGAGATTGAGTCCAAGGCTAAAAAGATCCTGACCGGTCTGGGCTTTTCGGAAACTCTTACCCAGAAACCCATTTCGAGCTTGTCTGGAGGCTGGCACATGCGTGCTTCTCTTGCCACTGCTCTGGTTCAAGAAACCGATATCCTCATCCTCGATGAGCCTACCAACTTTCTCGACCTCTTAGGAATCATCTGGCTCCAACGCTATCTTCAGAATCTCGAAGAAACAGAGAACCCACCAACACTCATTCTCGTATCCCACGATCGTGACTTCATCTCTCTTTGCACAGATCTGCTAATCCTCAAAGACAAGCAACTTACTTACTTCCATGGCGATTTTCCCACTTACGAGGCATCTCAAAGTGAGCGCAAACAATGGCTTACCTCCATGAAAGAAGCCCAGGACAAGCAAAAAGCGCATATCGAAAAGTCCATCGCTGCCAACATGAAAGCTGGCAAGGCAAACGACGATACCAACAAACTCCGTCAGGCCAAGTCTCGTCAGAAGAAGCTTGATAACCGCTGGGGGTTACAAGTCAACGCAAGGGGCGGTCGTTTCAAGCTCAATCGGGATCTTGTTGGCTTCCACTTGACTGCGCGTGATGATATCGACATTCCACCAGAAGACCGCCCCGTCGTGGTGAATCTTCCTGAGCCACCTGACCTGCGCTTCCCTGGTGCTCTGATCTCTCTCGAGAAGGTTGCGTTCCGATATTCAGCCAAGACACCACTTATTGTCCAGGATATTACTCTTTCTGTTGGCATGGGGGACCGTATTGGCATTCTTGGCCTCAATGGAGCGGGCAAGTCGACACTCATCAAACTCCTCGTTGGTGAGACTCGGCCTACGTCTGGAACCCTAAATACACATCCCCGGTTGAAGCTGGCATACTACTCTCAACACGCCGTTGAGACACTGCAGTCTCTCGGTCGCGAAGAACCAGCTCTTACAGCTCTTGCTCTTCTCACTCGCGAAGTGGAAGGCGAACTCACAGAAGGAGATATTCGCGGTCTTTTAGGCCAACTTGGTCTTCCAGGCCGTATTGCATCCGACGTTCCCCTGTGTAAACTATCGGGAGGGCAAGTTGTGCGTTGTGAGCTGGCTCGTCTCCTATGGCGACGACCTCATTGTCTTGTTCTTGATGAAGTCACGACTCATCTCGATTACGAGACTGTGACTGCACTGAGGGAGGCATTGAGGGATTGGCAGGGTGCTGTAATTTTAGTAAGCCACGATCGATGGTTTATGCGAGGTGTGATTGAGGGTGCTGTGGATGAGGATGAGGAAACAGACGAAGATGACGAAGATGAGGAACTCATGCGAAGAAGGATTGTGTACAGGTTGAAGGGTGGTAAGATGGATACATTGGAGAATGGTGTGGATGAATTTGAACGGCTCATCGAGAAGAGGGTCAAGAAGCTTCTTCAAGACTAGAGGATATTTGTTCGGGTGCATGTAGAGCATTCCTGAGTATATAGAGAGGATCAGGCCTATCCACGGCTCTCTAAAATAACAGGGATTGCCAGGATCTTGAAGAGACTGTGATCAAGCATATTGATACTCATATCTCCACCTTCAGGTATCTCAACGATAGTCCCATCGATGCACACCTTCCGCCGTCTCTCATCTCTCTCCAGAACCGAAATTTTGACTTCGTCGACTTCATCATAGCCAACCTTTTCTCCATCGGGCCACTGCATACCAACATGACTGCCCTCATCGTATGCCTTCATCATGACACTCATCGTTCGCTCACCACCAATTGGTCCAAAATGCACAAGTCTAAGCTGTGATTGCAATGGCTTAGTAGCAGGCGAAATGGCGAACTTTCGCTCCATATTCGATACAAGAGCTGTGAGCACGTAGGCATGTGACTCGCGAGGAATATCCTCAAACGTAGTAGAACCTCGACGCCGAATAGACACTTTTGCAGCATATGGGTGAGACTCCTTCAGAAGCCCTTCAGCGACCATATGGAACCGCTTATCGCCGTGGACACGATATTCAGGTGTGTCACTCTCGTGGACAAGACTTGCGTGAAATCCGTAGCTAGCTACAATAGCTCCCTGAAGATGCGTGACTGACGTCTCCTGCTTCTGAATCTGGTTTACGGCAGGAGTAGAAGGCCGTTCCTTGGATTTGTCCGTAAACTTGACGATATGGGATCCAGGGGAGAATGCTGCCCGGAAGACGGGAAGATCAGCGCCAACGCCTTGGAATAATGTTCGGAGCCCGAGTACAAGTGGGCTTGGGCCAGGCTCGGTGTAGAGTGGCTTGTGGGTAGAATGGAAGAGGGCATTTCCGGTGCCCAGAGGGAGAAGGGCAACTGTAGGAGGATTCTCTGGCACCTGATTCCCGTCAGAGCCGTTAAGGAGATCGACGATACCACCATCTCCACTCAGAAGCACGATAGTCCTCGCTTTCGAACGCTCATCTGTAGTCCATAACTGCTTTGCATAGTCTCGGATGGTCTCTGGGCTTTCTGTGTGAATAAGACGATATGTAAATTTGCCAGAATCATCTCCTGCGATGTATGTCCAAACAGGATGGAGAACATATTCCCAGACTTTTGAGGCTAGTCCAACGCCTGATTTGATCGAGACGATAATGTCCACCTGGTTTGTGACACCATGCTCGTTAGCAGAGCCGTGCTTAAGATGAGGGGGTAATCCAGCCACTGTGAGACTTCGAAGGTCGGTGGGTATTTCCTCCGTCTTCAGTATCGAGAGCTGAAATGGGATTTTCTTGTTCTCTGGGTCCTCCTTGAGGATAAAGAGTAGGTATTGCGAGGACCCCGATTGCGAGTTTGTTGCTTCGCGAACCAAGACAAGCTCATGACGTGAAGCACTCTCGGATGTCCCGGTTCGAGTCCACGTCAGATTGTCTTCAGTGACGGAGACATTTTCCACGGTTGTCACTTCGGCTAGGTGAGTGTTCTCCACAGTAGTAGACATTGCGACAAATGGTCAAGATTCAGAACAGATGAAGAGAGAATAGAAGAATATGTGATGTGGTATCTTTATTGTAATCTGGCGCTATTGGCCAATCATGAATACGTGTAACAGGAGGAGCAGATGCAAAGGGAAAGCGGCCAGGATTAGAGAGACGGGAGCCGAAGTCGCTAGGCTCGAGTATGGAGCTGAAAGGTTTTCGAATTGTGTTTAAAGACGAGTTTGTGAATGATGAAGAAACCAAGTTCAAAAACCCTCAGTGAAACTCATCTCGGCCTTTGTGGGGCTGTGTTGCTGACGAAAAGATGATAGGCACGCCAGCATCGCGCAATCAATTCAAAAATCCCACAGGATCGCCTTCTTTAACCGGTAAGACCAAGTAAATGATTAATAGTTGTGCTTCTTTTTTTTTCTTTCTTTTAGTCAGATTGTACAACATCATCGACGGCTCGCTTTAGCCAGAGGACCCCAGTTTTCTCGGGGGTTCATCTGGTATCGCACCAGCTTCTGCTCTCCTCGTCTTCGTGCAAGACGTGCTAGGTTCTCGTCGAATACGAGTGTCTTGCGCAATTGTGCCTCACTAAGGAGGAGCTTGACATCGCCGTTTGGTGCATCTGCTGTACCCTCGACAGGGGCCTCTGAAGTCTGCTGTTCCACGCCCTCCATCGCAGAGTCATCTTTAGCCGTTTCCTCTGTAGCCTCGGGCTTCTCTTGTCCAATGATTCCAGCATCAGTCAGAATCTTCCATGCGGCGCTGTTTTTCTTGATGCTCGATTCTTTGATCGGTGACTTCTGGCGAATCCATTCCGTTATTATCCACCAGATTGTAGACCATGGCGCGTCAGTCTTGATACTTCCTGGTCGGCAGTGGCTTCGAGCAGTGTGGTAGCCAAGATGGATCAAAGCACCTCGAACCATGTCCTCACTTGGGGTCACGCAGCTCACCACATTGGCCAAACGGCTTGGGATAATAAAGAAGGGATAGTGGTCAACGGTTGCAAGCTGAGCATCCTTGGGATCGACAGGCTCCTTGACCTCAGGACCAGGCAGATACTCTTCGAGGGCTGTTCGCAGCATACCCTCAAGTCTGGGCATCGTGCCATAGATAGAAGGATCAGCCTTGGGAATCTGCGCCAGAAGCCTCTCAATAAACTCTTGCGAATGAATGTGACCGCCATACATAGGGCCATTAATATGCATCTTCATTCCACAGTGTTCGCAGTGTCGGTCGGCTGATGGTCCCTGGGCCATAGTGTGCTTGTAAAAGGCGCCATTGCCCTTCTTGTTCGGCGCGGGCTTGCTTCTCAACATAGGCTGTGTTTCCCAAGCACCACAGCCTGAGTCGCAGCTGTAGACTAGCATAGTCTTGGAAGCGAGGAACTTGACCGACTGCGGGGACTTGGTCACCTTGATGAAGAATTTGGTGTAAAAGTCGATTGAGAGCGAGAGAAGAGGCTCGATTGCCAACCCATACCTGGCAGCCGAGGTAGCCACGGCGTTCAGAACAAGTCGAAGACCAGCTTCATGGGAGTGCATTCCCTTGATTGGAATTCCGCCGTAAAGCGCAAACGTCTTCTCGCAGTAGCTGTGACCTGCCCACACCGCACTGTCTGTGCAGGTGATACATAAGAGGCCACCGTCGTCTCTAATAGATTGTACGGCAGCGTCAAAGAAAGGTGCAGCTGTACCATAAGGATCCAGGTCAATAACATCGAACTTGTTGGTCTTGCCTGGGTTTCCACCCTTGTCTCTGTTGGACAAGTCGTCTGCGATGCCTCGATACATGAGCGCAAGCGCATCACCTTGCGTGACGGTAATCTTGTCCTCAAGTCCGTTATGCTTGGCGTTCATCCTGATAGACTCGGCAGCAGTGTCGGATAAATCATTGGCCTTGACAGATGTCACAAAAGGTAGTTCGTGGGCATATCGAAGTGCTCGCAGCCCAGACGCCGATAGCGCATCCAGGATACGAAATGAGGGCTTTGTTTCTTTCTTGGGCTGTCGTGCTTCGGCATCGTTGGGTTTAGCAGCCTCTTCAGTCGCTTGCGCTTTATCCTGTGGTGGAGGGTTCACGGGCTCGGTAGGCTTCTGGTCGTCATCGCCTCGCTTGCGCTTCTTGCTCTGCTTGTTCATCCTCGACTCGTACTGCTCTTTCCTCTTCTCCAAAGACATTTCGCCATATGTCTTGATCGCGAGAACAGAGAGATCACGGTTGTATTGCTGGATAGGATTGTAGAACACCTGCTGGACTTCCCCACGATCCTCACCAATCTTAGCACCCTGAGGCACCAAGATGGTAGCTTTTCCCTCTGTGACCGTCCTAAACTCCTTCCCATCGACGGTAACAGTTTCGACGCTGACTTTTTCCTCCGCCATTTTTGCTGTGGTCGAAAATTGGCGATGCGCAATCGTCTTGTCGCAGAGAGCTCGGTAGTTGCGATTTGTGCTAAGGATCCGAGTTTTCGAAAAGCGGTTTGTGAGATCCAAGATCGCTCCAGCGCCAAAGTTCGATCTTGATCTCCAGAAAACGCGAAACATGTAATTATGTTGCTTGGAAAGAACCTTCATGGCTCGAGAGCTTGTGGTTAACTGAAGCTAAATTTTATAAAATTCTGCCGCCTGCTATGGTCCATGACCGTATACGGCAGGCGGTGAGAGCAGCCATCTTAACTCATGATGGAAACCCGACAATTGCGTTTCTTAAGAGGTTGTAAAGGATTCTATATATTCGTTCTTCAAATTCAATTCAATCAATCTTCAGTTTGCTTTCTTTAATTGTATATACACGAAACATTGGCTAACAGCTTGGCATAATCTCATTGTCTACAACTGCTTAGGAAAGACCACAGCGTCAAAAACATCGTAATGTGTAATAAGCATCTAAGTCTAACATTAAATTATTTCACGAGAAAATGAATGCGGTGGGATGACATGAAATTTGGGTTCACTCAGGGATGAAATACCAGTGTCAAAATGAACTATCTTTCGATACTCCATGAACTTCGTGGCTTCTACCAATCCACGTTCTCTGAATGGCTTCAGGGTAAGTTACCTACCTATTTTTGGCAACTGTCGATCTTGGAGAAGGATTAACAGGGAAGGTCTCCAACTCTCCACGGATCCATAGCAAGTGGAGGCATGAACCATTTATTGCTCGCATCAGACCAGACCAGACCAAGAAGTTCGTCGTATACAATCAGATCATCACTTAATTCTCTCAATCTGACTGCATGACTCGGCACTTGGCTTTAGGTCAAGCGGTCAACTTGTCAGTCAAGTACAGAAACCAATTGAAGACATTTTTTGACAGTCAATGTCCATCGACTAACAAAAAAAACTCTGCTTGAGCCTCTGTTGATCAAGGCGCAACAGCTCCGAGCTCTGCCCTAGAGGAAGCGAACTCCAAGGATCCCCCCGCCCTGTATGTTGAGATGACGGGGGCGCTAAGACCCATGGAGATGAAAAAATTTGGGGGATGGGGGAAAATTGGATAGGTTGCACTTCAATGACGTAGTAACTGTGTAAAAGCATGCAAGTTGGCATGTGAATTTGACTCAATTGCAAGTACTCGAGTTATTCCCAACAAATTGCTGTAAAATGCTCTTCTTTGCTGGCAAATCCATGAGAATCCAGCTTAGACAGAGCCTACCGTCAATTTAAAGACCGCCAATCAATTTCCTCATAAAGAACAAGAGCCGCACACGGAAGCTCCCCCCTCACCATCGCTCTTCATGCGTTGCGAAGCTTCCCTTGGAGGCGCCATGAGGAATTGACTCGGAGACGTACAAAACTAGGCCAACTCCGTACAAGGCACGGCTTGCATTCGTATCCTGTTGTATCAATATCGAGAATCTCTTGAAGCTAAGCCAGGAACATTCGTGGCTCGGTACCTTGTTTGCTTCAGCTTCGACGCGACTAACAAAAGCCAATTGCTCGCCCATTGGCCGTGAGTGATTTGTTGTTGGCTGACAAGTTACAACTGCTACATACCCCTCCACGCACAAGATAGAGCTGCTGCAGCCTCTTGAAGCTACTGGGAACAATATCTTGGAATTAACAACCCGGCACTCCCGGACAACCAACCTGGTTCCCCGTCTTGACCGCCAAAGACAACATCCAAGGTTTGGTTGTACGAAGCTGACATGACTGTATCCAGCAGATTCGACCAGAAGCTATAGGATGTGATGGAGGAGGATTCTGACCTATAGTACTTCTCATCGTGCGGTAGCTCACTCAACCTGAGCGTGTAGTATGAATGTATGTATGTACTAATTAAGGCACTTGTTGAGCTGTCCAAATTCGGTTACATGAAAATGACTTGATCGAGGAGTTGTTTGCTTTTTTCTTCTTCCCTTCTCTTCTTTCTTCTTTTTGGTGTAGACATAATATTTCTTCCTCGTTCCTGCCCTCTTGTCTCTTCCTCTCACTCACTCACTCATGTCCTTCACCTCGTCAACCCCAAGCTCAATCTCACTTTTTTCCAAAAACATCGCCCAACATTGGCTTCTACCTTAATTATTCCTAGACACCCTTTTCTTGTCCCTTTCAACCTTTTTTAGGCCTATGCCGTAGGCTGCTTCACGCCTATCCCCTCTTCCTCCCACCATCACCTTATCTTTGGGATATTATCCCTCCTGCCGCTCGCTCAGGTTGTCGATCCCGCTCGATATCCCAGATCCAAGATCCCTGAACCGAACCGACGAGCCCACTAAAAACGACCCAAGCAGCGTCTTCGGAGCTCACTGACCACGGAGCACCCCACTAAGTTAACTTGCCTACTGCGGACGCGAACCGTTAGCTATCGATCATAGCTCCACTGCGACAGGCACGTTGCGTAGTGCAACAGCACTTCCTTGGTTACCAGTTTCAGTGTCTGGCTGAGCTGTGCTTTTGTCATTTCGCGGGGCACGAAGCGCCCGCTCTTCTCTTCTCTCATCATGAGTCCACCGCACACCATGACATCCAACGAGGTTTATTTGCTGCCGCTCAACGATGATGGCTCACCTCAGGTGCAAGGTGAATACATCTATCTCGCGCCCAGGTCTCACGAGCCTGTGACGATTCGTTTTGCCATCGAGGGCACCTCGTCCATCTGCCGTCATGGCAGCCTTTGGGTCAACATCCCTGCCCAAGGTGATGAGTTTCGCCGCGATCATTTTCGCGAGTTCAAGTAAGCTTTGGCACTCATTTTGATCCAATTGATCACTTTTGAGGCAGTTTGAACTGTCCCAATGCTGTAACAAGCACACGCAACTCTGTGTAACTAACACAGTCGTTTTACAGACTTACACCCGATTTCAATCGAACTCTCGAAATATCCATTCCCATTTACCAACCTGGTGCTTATGCGTTCTACACTACCTACGCTGAGCTGCCTGACCTCAAGAAGGAGCTAGAAAATAGCTCTGAACAGAAGGAGAACCTCAAGAAGACTCCCCTGTACTACATCGATGTTGCGCCTAGACTGAAACTCGACGGCCGGCCATTGCCGTTGCCTGCCTTGTCAATTTTCTCCGTCATTAGCAAGTTCATGGGTAAATATCCCAATGACTGGGAGCGTCATCTTCACGGTATTAGCGATCGCGGCTACAACATGATCCATTTTACTCCTCTCCAGGTGCGCGGAGTGTCCAACTCCCCATACAGCTTGTATGACCAGCTCGGCTGGGACTCTGCTTGTTTTCCAGCAGGAGAGGAGGATGTGCAGAAGATGGTGGACAGCCTAGAACGTAACCACTCTTTGCTGAGTTTGACTGACATTGTGCTTAACCACACCGCAAACAACACAAAATGGCTTGAAGAGCATCCCGAAGCAGGCTACAATTTGATCACAGCACCCTGGCTCGAGTCCGCTTATCAACTAGACACAAGCCTCTTGGAGTTGAGCGACAACCTGGCAAAGTTGGGACTGCCCACTGTTGTCAAGTCCACCGATGATTTGCTACTCATCATGAATGCGATCAAGACCGAGGTCCTTGCCAAAATCAGGTTATGGGAATACTATGCGGTTGATGTGGACCGAGATGCCGACGAGGCAGTTAAAGCCTTCTCCCAGGGAACGAAATACACCTCTGACGATGCTTCAGATTTCGAGAAGAAGTTGGAAAACGCTAAATCTGCATCAATCAAGGACCAAGTCGAGTTCTTCAGGGAGTTCGGTTTGACAGGCACCGACCGAATGGGTGAGCGCTTTCGAAGGCGCGTCAAGCCTGACGTAGCTGCTAGCTTTTTGGCTTCGTCCGTGGGTTCTTCCGACGAGAAAGCAGCCAGGGCCAAGATTGTCGAGATCTTGGAGATTCTCAATGTAGACTACTACAAAGAGTATGATGCTGAAGTGGATGACATTCTTCAGCAGATCTTCAACAGGATCAAGTATGTTCGGCTTGATGATCACGGTCCCAAGCTTGGCGAGATCAACAAGGAGAACCCCCTAATTGAGCCTTACTTCACCCGACTCCCCAAAAATGAGACAACATCCAAGCTCAAGCCCGAAGAGATGGCTTTGGTCAACAATGGATGGGTTTGGGGCGGTAATGCGCTGGTCGACAACGCTGGACCTGAGTCCAGGGTGTACCTTCGCCGAGAGGTAATCGTCTGGGGTGACTGTGTCAAGTTACGATACGGCTCAGGCCCAGAAGACAACCCTTGGCTGTGGGAGCATATGACCAAGTATGCTCGCACACTGGCCAAATACTTTGCCGGTCTCCGTATCGATAACTGCCACTCAACTCCCATTCACGTGGCTGAGCACATTCTTGACGAGGCCCGCCGAGTGCGACCTGACTTGTATGTTGTGGCCGAATTGTTTACAGGCTCTGAAGAGATGGACTACGTTTTTGTGAAGCGCCTTGGTCTCAGCTCCCTTATTCGTGAAGCCATGCAGGCATGGAGCACGGGTGAGCTTAGCCGACTGGTTCACAGACACGGAGGTCGACCTATTGGAAGCTTTGAGGTCGATGAAGTTTCCAAGTCGGATGTTCGCACCCCATCGAGTAGTCCGACTAGACTCAAGAACGGCGAGACGAATGGGCATGTATCGCATTCAAGAGAGATTATTCGCACGATCAAGCCAAGCCCAGTGCATGCTCTGTTCATGGACTGCACCCATGACAACGAGACACCGGCACAGAAGCGTGATGCCCGCGACACTCTTCCCAACGCTGCTCTTGTATGCATGTGCTCCAGCGCTACTGGTAGTGTTATGGGATACGATGAAATCTATCCAAAGCTTGTCGACCTTGTCAACGAGACCCGACTTTACACATCTGCCTCGTCTGGAACAAAGCCTATTAAGATTGGAGGCGGCGAGGAGGGAATTGGCGGCGTCAAGAAGCTGCTTAACCAAATACACACTTTGATGGGCAAGGACGGATACGATGAGACTCACATCCATCACGAAGATCAGTACATTACTGTTCACCGAGTGCACCCTGAATCTCGCAAGGGTTATTTCCTCATTGCACATACAGCTTTCCCAGGCTACGGCAATGGCAACGGTGATTTTAGCCCTGTTCATCTCACTGGAACCAAAGCTCGACACCTGGGTAGCTGGATGCTCGAGGTTGACG